TATGTCCTGTTTATATTGTGTATATTATTGCTATTTTTATTTACTTACTTATTTAATTTTCAACTGATATTTCTTATTTTAACAATGTCTTTTTATCTTATCTTGTCTTTACTTGTCTTGTCTTTTCTGTTATCTTTCTGTTATCTTGTCTTATCTTATTGTGAAAAAAAAAAGCTGCATTTGGGTGCAGTGAATGCATGTAAAAATAATGAAGCTCTGCTGGAAAAGCTTCCTGCTGTCTTCATTCATTTTATATTCAAACTAAAAAAAAATCCATATCAATTGTAAAATATTTTTTGTTTTTCTTATGTAAAAAAGTTTGAGTTTTGTAGTTATGTACCAGATTAATGCCACTATTTTATACGAGTTTAGGGAAAGGCTAAATAACAAATGGCAAAACTATCCAATTCATGCAGTTGGGGCCCAAGACCCAAAACCTGTAAAATCAGAATTTGTATCCCATTCCAGATCTACAAAATATCTACAAAATATAGGGTGCCTCTGTACTTCAGTGTAACAAAAAAACATTGTTATTCAGGGGGATAAGGAAGAAGTATTTCACACACATTCCGTTTTCTTTTACAGGAGTCCTGAAAAAAAGAGATCATCTGCCAGAAATTGATCCCCATCCACAGGAGTAAGCATCGCCTCGTTTATATGCGTCTACAGCTGCTTTTATTTGAATTAAACTGTTATAACGTGCAAATACACATACGTTTATTTCTGCGATGATAACGAATGTATGTTTTTGTGGAACATTTACCTGATTTTATTCATCATAATGATCATTCGGTTATGTTCAACGTTACACGTTTCTCACCACATGATCATGATAACCGCAGAAATAAACACATTTGTATTTGCACGTTATGAAACTTTGATTACGGCAAAATCAGCTGTAAAACATATAAATGATACAACAGACAGCGCGCGGACAGCGCGCGCGCTCCCGCGGACGACGATCAGTTTCTGGAAGACGATCGCTTTTGAGCACTACACCTGGAAGTGACTCACAATAGGGGTTGCCAGGTCAACATTTTTTTTCCGCGGAATTGGGCTAATTTTTAAGAGATGTCGCGGGTTGCCCTTCAGACACGGTATATTGTCATAAATAAACCCTGAGAACATGGTGAGAAATTAACTGCTGCATATGTTTGCTATCATTACCCTTCCTCATCCATTCTGCATAAAGGATTTGCTGTTTATAGATCGTATATATTAACTATAATGATAATTTTAGGACCTTGGTTTAACTGTTTAGGGTAAACTGCTTTTAATGTGTGACACGCCAAATATGTATGCTGTTCATGCTGTCTTTGTAGATATTACAGCACATTTGATAATAATAGTAATGCTGTTGTATGATATAGCAGTGACATATTTTTAATTCTGGCATTGGGCTGTTTTCTGGGTTGTTACCTTTGGGCTGGTTTATGGCAGATTTTGATTGGCCACTTGGCAGATTTTCTTAGACCTGGCAACCCTGCTCACTGCCACACGGACACAATAGAGCTGCTGTGACAATGTGTAGCAGACATTCCTTGACGTAGCAGAGTCGTGTCGCTGTCTATTAGTTGTACTTTGAATAATTGTCTTAAGACTTATAGCAGCTGGTTTACTGTCATTTTTGCCTTAACGAATTAGCTTGGTGAGTGCGCTAACGCTAGCTAGCTAAGCAGCTGCTTGAGCGCTGCTTCTTGGTTGTGTTATATTCCCCCATATACATTGTTGCTCTCTAACTAATCTGATTTAGCAGGATTATGGCGTTTCCTCTTGATATTAACCAGTTATTCCCCGAGAGGGTCACGCTCTTGGACCAGACTCTTGTTGCAGAGAATCGTAAATCAACAGAAAGGTAAGTTAGAAGACCCGATATTCCTCTTTATAATTAGTTTGTGTTTTACATAGTACCTACAGACATATAGTAGCCTACTGTGTCTGGATCTCTTGAGTGGAGAGAATGTCAAATTAAATTCCATTCAGAAGTCCCAATTCAAGCAATCATGCGTATGTAATTAAAAGCCTTTCCTTTGTGTTTTCACATTTTTCTCTCTTGTCATATAAAAGATAATGTATTTTCTGTTTTACAACAATGCCCAATTGAATCTTCTTATCTTATCATGTTGTTGTCATATTGTTCTACCATTTTCATATTTGCAGACCAGATCTTTTGGCACACATAGTCACGGTCATTGATGAACTTGGAAGAGCCTCTGCAAAGGTCGGTTTCTGTAGTTGTTGGAGTATTTTTATGATTTTATGTTTTTATGTATGTTAAAGCACAGTTTATTTTTTACAGATATATATAATCAGTGACCACAGAAATAGAACCCTTATTGCTAAGAACCGCTTTTTGCCCTGATCGTACTTCTTGACAGAATCATTAGCATTTTGTTGGACTATCTATTGTCCAGGAAATTATTGTGATAAATTACATTATTGTCGTCATTTTGAAACCATTATATGCCACTGATTTAATGATATTATTGCATAATGATGCATGTACACTATTTCAAAGAGCAATGAACTTTTAATTCTAAAGAATATTCAGTATGACATGTGAATTAGAATTAATAATAATAAAATATCCTGAATAAATATTAAATAAATAAAATAAACCACGCTCAAAAGCAAAGCCAAAAGTTTAAAGGCCTCTCTGGCTCTGATACCAAAAATTGCTCTTGAATTAAACAACAAACTACAGTAAACTGAATGGGAGGGTTATGATTTAGATGAGATTTTAGCTTTGTATTGAATTATGTTTTTGTGTGTGTGTGTGTGTCTGTGTGTCTGTCTGTCTGTCTCCCTCCCTCCCTCCTCGTCTTTGCAATCCTTCACACACAACCTGGCTATCACATAAATTAATCAATGGTGTTGGTTCATGAATCTGGATCGTTTCAGTCACTTTAACACTGATGTCCTGGCTATGCGCGTCTCGTGGTGCACACAAAATGTTGGGCTTTATTTCAATGTGTTTAAATCGGACCCATAAACTCTGGAGTGAATCACACAAAATCAACTTCCTGTACCCTTCAGGTCTTTATAACTTCTGATGAGTGTTGGTGTTTTTTGTTAACGTGTAAAGTGAGTGCAGGTCAACAGCAGTGTGGAGGGAGGACACCCAGACAAGAGACTCTGAAACGATACAAACCGCTTCTGCTTTGATCTGATCCTGAAGCAGTGGCGCTACAGCGTTGGTCCGTAGTGGAAATCTTATATTCACACTTTTTGTTGCCACTTTTTGACAAACCACCTCATTCACATTAATGTCCTCTCCTTATACTCACTTCACTGTTGTTTTTGTGTGTGCGAGGGGGGGGGGGCAGCCCGGGGGCCAGTGTGTTTGAGTGTAAACTCTACTCTCAGACTGAATAGGGGAGATGAGAGAAGCGACGCGACGCACCATCTAAATGTTAGGCACACATGTGCGACGAAGCAACACTTTAGTCACACTTCACAGATTTTTGGTCGCATGTGCGGGAAATGTTCCATGCACAAATATTGGATCTGTAGACACACCCATCCACAGTGATATCAGGGTGCTCTGACATAACCTGGAGTCCAGTTCTTCATCGCCACAGCTAGGGGGCCTGATATTGTTGATAATAGTTTTTTCTAAAAAATGACTGAACAACTCGGTAGTTCACTCATCTGTGTGGTTCCTTGTTTTCCACAGGCCCAACAACTCACAACTCCAATAACAAGTGCTTCCAAACTACAGTCCCAGAGGCATCAGCTGTATCTGCTGAAGGACGGAGATAGCAACAGGTATACATTGTTTTGTCCTTCAGCTTTTACATATTTTACACACACGCGCACATACACACACACACTCACACACACACACTTGTCTCTGGACTTATTTCCTCAGTCATACTCTGCAAGTTATTCACAATAGAGAGTCTTGATCACTGCACTTAACTATACAACCCCCTCGATCCCTTTTGAATTTGCTACCCCTCCTTTCTCCTACAGAGGACATGGTATTGTTGTGGGATTTCTCAAGGTCGGCTACAAGAAGTTATTTCTTCTTGTGAGTCACCTATTTTCCTTTTTTTGTGAAAGAATTCTGTCTTTTCAGGCCAGCTATAATTATCATCATAATAATTATACTGTGCAGTTATACTTGTTGCTCTTCCTCCACAGGACAGACAGGGTGTGCACATAGAGGCAGAGCCACTGTGTGTTTTGGATTTCTACATTGCAGAGAACTTTCAGAGACATGGCTATGGATCAGAGCTGTTTGACTTCATGCTGCAGGTGAACCATTTCTCTCTCTTGGCCAAATCATTTGAACACCCACAGACAAGGTGTAATGGGACAAGACAACACAGATCTTGGTGATGATAAAGACTGCATGTATCTTGTAGGATAATTAGAGTAGAAGGAAAAAAGAAAAAATGAGAAAAGTGGGATCATTGTTGATGGAACAGGTGACCAGGGGCCTCATTTATAACCGTTACCTACGACGGCAGAGATGTGAGGAGGTGAACTGAAGCAGATTAATGATCCAATTCATCATTAACATTGAAACCAACAGCGTTATGTGTGCTCACATGACATAACTGTTCTACAAGAACCTTCAATTGAAAAAGATATAAAACAACTTACAGCAAATTATGTTCAGATTCTATTAAACAGTGGAGTTGCAGAGCCAAGTCATTAATAGTTTTTAATATCTTCTAACACGCGTGTATGTATAAGTATGAGTGTGTAAAATCACCGCAGTGAACGTGACTGTGCCATCAGGCTCACAGAGCGCACTGGAGATCACTTAAAAAAGGTAAAGAAAAAATATTCATTTTCAAACTTCTATTTCCAAACAATGTCCCAGAGTGAAGGTTAAGATACCACTGATGTGTGAAGTAATAGGTCAAATTGCTCTAAATATATAAATACTGTGGTGACACTCATGAGTAATGCTTCGTGATGGATGCACTGGCACTGAGAGTGTAGAGAGGATTTGGAGGAAATAAGTGTTCAGAGATCACAAAGATTTTTGTCCCATGATGATGACGGATTAATCCGCTGATATAGCTTATATGGATCTGTGATCTTGTGCTGAACTGAGTCCAGTATTACACAGATCGACCTGACGGAACCAAACCTTTACAAACACAAGTACTTGCCACTGGTTTATTAGCCAACAGGTCTACTTTAATAATCCTGCAGTTTTGGATTATTAAAATACCCACAGGCGATACAACAAGTTCACTCACATTCTGACAGTGTGATGCGATTATTCATTTGTCTCCACCTTTGAATTAGATTTTTAAAATTTTTATTTCAGGCACCGTTCTTTCTATCGTAGTCACTCTCACTCAATGTATTACCAGCAGAAGCAATGTATCAGTGTCTTTTCTTTATCAATGACATCACTGCTGTGGCCACCAAACAATCTTTCAGTCTTTAACTCCAAATCATTAACCATCACCTCGTTGACGGAGTCAGAGAGTTTCGCCTCTCTCATCGCTTGATGCCATGATTCACAGTAGAAACCCATTAGTCTGCAGGATAATTTAATATTCATGACGTGCTTTCACTTATGCACATTTCCAGGTTGAGTGTGATTTATCAAGAGAAAATTACCATAAGGTGTGTGTGCACATGGTTTTATAAATTGGAATCAGTTTTTGTGCACATACGCTTTTTGTATGAATCCAATGCACTGTTTTATAAATGAGGCCCCGGGTGTTTTTTTAAGATTTTTTTCTAGATCCTGTATGTGTATTTGTTGATCTCTGCAATTCATCTGTATTCAGTGTTTCCCACCACAGAAATCTCCTGGAACTTAACAGAACTCTAGGTTTATAAGTCCTATTTTGAATGGCACAAAGTAAAATTAAACCAAGGTCCCAGTATGCTTTTAACAACCTCCTCAAGGGTGAAAAGCCAGCCCGCTGTTAAAGGAGAAGTTAGTTTTTTTTCAACCTGGTCCTTATTTCCAGCATATGGTATGTAGATCTAATCACCCATAAAGGTTTGGAGTAACTTGGAGTCCTTCGGACACTTTTCAATCCATACGCGATCGGCGTATATCCATGCAACGCAAGGGTTCCGGGCATCCACAATACAGCTTCTAAATAACGCATTATCTGCCGCGAAACTGTTTATTTACTATGAATCGCAAGCACTAGTCCCCTGTGAGTCCAAGTTGCTTTGTTTACATCCCGGGCTTTCACTGGGGTGACGTCACCGAGGCGTGCAGCCTGACAATCAGCTGTGTTTGTTTACACAGAGTTTGCTGCTGCTAGTTTTGCGCAACATGGCAGAATGCTTATCAGGTGCTTTACAGTACAGTATTTTTTTAAAGCAGCTGTGTCCTCGTGCTCGGGCATATTCACCCGGTTAAAGGCTGGCTAACTTCAGCGGGCTAACGAGCAGCCTCGGAGCTAGTGTTAGCTTAGCGAACCGATTTGTTGATTAAACAGGAAGACAACTTGCTCCGGTTCGCTAAGTTAATGCTAGCTCCGAGGCTGGCGAGACTCACAGGGGACTACTGCTGGCGATTCAGAGTTTCGCGGCAGATAATGGGTTATTTAGAGGCTGTATTGTGGATGCCCCGAACCCTTGCGTTGTATGGATATACGCCGATAGTGTGTGGATCTAAAACCGTCCGAAGGACTCCAAGTTACTCCAAACCTTTATGGGTGAGTAGATCTACATACTATATGCTGGAAATAAGAACCAGGTTGAAAAAAACCGAACTTCTCCTTTAAATGTATTAAAAAAGGCACATACCTTCATTCTCTTAACTCATTGCAGTCGGTGATATACAAGAGGTGGCAGATTAATTACTAATACAATTGAATAAGGCACCGACAGTGCAAAGGCCCTATTGAAATGATGATTATTATTATTATTATTTTTCATTCAATGAATGACCTTTTTGAGGGCTTAAACATACACGAAAAATCAAGAAACCTTGCAGAAAATTCAAAATTGGTGACAATTGACGTATTCTGGAGGAATTTAAAATGGGCGTTGCAAAATGGCTGAACAGCGCCATCTAGAACACAGCCCCTGAGTTTGCTTTCATGGATCTAATCAAAAATCAGTATGACCAGAGGAGCAAAGAAGTCAGCCGTTTTGGATTTAGTGGCCATTTTGGCTATTTTATATTTTGTGTATTTTAACAAACTCCTCCTAGAGCTTTCATCAAATCAACTTCAAATTCGGTGAGTGTCATTATAACAAGATGGAGATTAAAACTACACAACCATGTCAAACTTTGTCATTAGGACCTCAAGACTGATATGCTAGACCAAACAGGAAGTCAGCCTTTTGAACAAGGCGCCATTTTTGACCATTTACATGTGTTGTATTTGAACAAACTCCTCTTAGAGCTTTCATCAGACGAACTTTAAATTCAGTAAGTGGTATCTCAACTCCATGGAGATTAACACTACCTGGTTTTTTTTTGTGTACATAACATGATCTGACCTTGGCGTCAAATTTTGATGATACGCCTAAAGAGACGGATTTATTAACACTTTCTTGCATTGTCCAATCAGCCTTAAAAACTCATTCACACAATCGCAGTCTGGCCTTGAACAGATCCATGTGTCAATATTGACTCATTATAACAGCGCCACCGGCTGTTGACAGGAAGTGACATGTTTTATACTTTGATGCACTGCTGCCAGCTGCTTTACAATATACAGCTCAAATGAGCTCAGACAAGCTCTAAGAACATGGTCAGAATTGTGACATTCCCTCAAACCATGTAAACATTGATGTACGGCGAGGGATTAATCTTCGCTGCACATCAATGTTTAGGAGACAAAGTTGTCATAACTGCACTGTGCATTATCCAATCAGCCCCAAAATTATGTTACATGATCAGAGTCCAGGCCTGAACAGCTCCATATTCAATATTGAGTCAAGGCAATCACCTAATTCAAAGTTCTAAGTTGGGTTCAGAGCATGTCTATCCAAACCTTGAATTTGCAAGGGACTTTGCCACAGTGGCACCCAACACAACCTGAGGACAGCCACTTCCGACTAAGCATCTTTTATTAATTTAAATCAAAAACATTAAACACTCAATAATCACTGAAACATAAATTGCCCTGCACGTAACCTCCTTGGCAGCACAGTGTAAATCTCTGGCTCTGTGTTTCTCCAGTCCATGACACAGTCTCTCTGTGTCTTTGTCTTCCCCATGTGTGTCAGTCCCCTCTGTGTATCAATCTCCATTTGTGGTAGAGCTTCCACATTTTAAAGCAACTTCATTCAGCTGTGCCAATTGCCCTCCCTTTTACAGCTGGAGGTGCTTTGATGAGCAACCTCCATAAATGCATTTTTTTAAATTAGTTGAGAGAAATGAAAAAACTTAAAGAAATGTACCCATAAACAAATTTCATTGCTATGTGCGGTTCATCAGTGATGGCATGTTTTCTCTTTCTCTCCTTTAGCACAAGAATTTAGAGCCAGCGCTGATGGCTTATGACAGGCCCTCACCAAAATTTCTGTCGTTCCTGGCAAAGAATTACTGGCTGACACACAGTGTCCCACAGGTACAATCTTTACTTTCCAACAATATTATGAATGTATGAATGGTTAGTCCTCTTTTCCAGTTCTATTAATGAGATATCTCTTCAATATCACTTTTCCCTAGAGGGCACAATGACAACACCGTTGTCACTCATTACAGTGTGTGGAATGCCAAGCCTCGCAAAGAATGACTTTGCATGTGAGATGACACTGGTTGGCAATGTGTTTGCTAATAATGCTATCTCAGGAAAGTTCGAGCATTAGTCAATTACCTCTCAATAATCTTTACCTCTGAGATGAAACAAGTCCATTCCCACTTTAAGCCATGGTGCCAAATCAGCTACCACCATTGGCTCTTTGCTTTGTTTGTTTCTGTGTTTCTGGCATGTATCACATTTGCTTATCGGTGTCTCAATGTCTTTGTTTATTCCAGGCCAGAAAACTGTCCCTTGCCCTCCTTTTACATTTTTCAATTCCTAGATGGGCTTCATGTATCATGTGTTACATGTCCATTCTCAAAGCTTGTGGAATGACAATTCTGCACAATATTCCATCCACAACACTAAGTTCACCTCTGATAATCTGTTGCAGTTCTGTGTCCTTTGCTGTAGCCTCGGCTATTTGACTTGACTGAGCGTCTGATACAGGCAGTGCAGCAGATACCATATTCATGTGGCATTGAATGTCCTCATGGGTACTCCGGAGAGGGCTTCAGCTACTAGAGTGTAAATCAGTTCAAGTCATACTTCTGCATCTTCATGATCAGATGTCCAATCCGTCGAGACATCTTGATTAGATTCTTTTTGATTATCAAGACTGGTGGTCTGTGATCCATCTCTACAGTGAAACATGGCAGTCCATAGCTGTGAAACTGCTTGATGAAATATTTCAGGTGCTGATTTTATTCCAAAAGGCATTCTGAGGAAGCAGTATCTTCCAAATGGTGTGTTTAAGGTATTGTACTTGATGCTACTTCCATCCAGTTTTAGCTGCAAGAAGCATCAATGCATTGAGCTTTGAGAAGTAACAAACTCCTGCCTTTTCACTGATGATTTCTTCACGTGTGGGTATTTGAGCACCTGCAGGTGACGATCACGTCCTCAATCTGCTGTGCAGGTTGAGTCTGTGTGCGCTGTCTTGACTGATGCAACATCATTGTCATTCACTTGCACTGTAGCTCCTCCCGCCATCTCACTTAACCTTTTCATTTGCTTTTGGGAAAGCTAACTTGCCTGGCAGGTCAATATCTGCCAGGCAAGTTAGCTTTCCTCCAGTTAGTTGCCTCCAGCGTCAGCACCATTTCCCAAAGTAGCCTTTTACTGACTTTCATGCTAAAAACAATCTGGTCCATGATCATGGAGTCTTTCAGTGTTTCAAAGTTGTGCGACTGCGCTTTTAGCTGCAAGTCTGTCAGACAGCTATCTGGGCTCATGCTGATCCTGTGTAAACATGGCCCCCTCTGTGGACTGAACCCGCTCCTGATGTTAATATAAAGTATTTAAATATAAAGGGTAAAGAGGACAACAATTCGTTCAATTGAGATAATACACTGTAGTTAACACACTGTGGCGGCGGGGTGTGGTTAGGGCGCCAACTGCTGGACAACAGGGAGGAGTGGCTCAGCAGGTGATCGGACAGCTGTGCAGAATCAGGTAATCAGGCAATCAATAAGAGCACGCTGGTAACCTGGTTCTACTCTCTTGCAGTAGGCTGGGTTCCTGAGACTGGAGCAGCTGGCGGACGTGTGTGGATGTGTGTGTGGGTTGAGTGACCCTTGTATATATATGTGTGTGGTTGCCAGATGAGGCTACAAGAATAAAGACTGTTGCCAAAATTGCCATTCTCTCCTCCCGTGTGTATCCGGAGTGGGCCGAGTATTCCCACACACACCAATGGTATTATTATATATTTGATGTCTGACAATAGAGCCCTTTCACAGAAATCATACACACAGAACCTTTATTTGCACCTGAGCAAGCTCTGTTTTCTGAATGAATGCTGTGAAATTTGTTTGAAATTAAGGAACGATATAATGAAAATCTATCCGCAAAAGACGTACACACACACTCATAACTCACAAAGACATACACAGTGTGTTCGGACACGTGTAAACTCAGTCTGGGTAAAAACAACAGATGGCAGTGTGCCCGTTTTTGTTTGACGCGGTTAATGCAGCTCACGGCCCAAAGGATATAGACGCAGAGAGGAACAGTAAGTTACTAACAGAGTTGATAAAAATGAAGTAAAAAAAAAAACTTTTAGGGTCCAAACGAGAATGAATAGACTCCAAATTAAGACTGTAAGTGGACTAAGTGGAGCTATGCATGGCTCCCTCGGTGTCTGCCCCAGTCTTGGTGGCAATCACCGCTGTGGAGCTGTCCGTGGTTTCTGTCTGTAGCGAGGGAATGTTTATTTATCGCAAGTCATATCTCATCACGATATTCAACAATGTTATTGCATGTTTTCCTAATATCGTGCAGCCCTAGTTGAAATTTCTATGATCTAGAAAGCAGACCTGTTAGCCTAGATTATTTATGGATTCATACATTGGCCTCATGCAAGAAAATTTTCTGATTATTATCCCTCATATTTTTTTAACGGTATGTTCGTGCGAACATGCTTCTTAAGACGTCAATGCTTCAAACTTCCAAAAATTGTGTAAATGATGAATGCCACCTGTGTATGTTAGGGAACTTGGAGGAAGATAGCAAATTAGCATAATTACTGCCCCAATAATGACAAAATATTGATTCAAAATTCATTCATGAAAATGTTCAAAAATTTTAAAGAAAAATATTACTTTTTCTAAGATTGAAGTCTTGCTTTTAGAAATCCAGAGAGGAAAGTATATAATTTTCATATTTATGGTCAAAGTGATGTTGAAGGTTTGTCACCTTTGGGTCGCACTATCATTGAAGTAAAGAAAAAGTGGGTACGTATGAGTGAGGAGCACAAGAGGAAAATCTGTCTCTCATATGGATGAAAAAGATACATTGTGATGTTTATGTTTTCTGCTGGTGTTGGATCAGTACAACTTTGTCCCTGGAAATGGTAATTTAAATATGTAGAGTAAATATAGTTAAATATGCAGCATATGCTAAGATAATTTAACATGCTTTCTCTGGCGTGTAGTGCAGCTTGTGGACAGCTGTGTCAAGTCTCATCCCTGTGGCCTTCACAATACCAACTGTGCTCGACTACACTACAATTGCACATGCTATGCTCGTTTTATGGGTGGTCCTGTCTTGTCAGGGGGTTGACTAGAGATGTTATGAGCCAGGGAGTTCAATCGATTAATCAATCACATGGACAAATATTTCAGGTAAATTATCTGAAAACAGCTTTCATGGTGACAATTAATAATGGACAAGTCTAGCCACAAATGAGTTGTGCACTCACCTGGTTGTTACACAGCTGTGTTCAGCAGGTGCGCTGATAGATTTAGAATTGTATTATAATTTGAATTTCAGAGATAAACAGAACAATGTTGACAAATTAAGGAGGTGTAATTTATTCATTTATTTATAATTGCTTCAGAGTAATGACATATTTAATGCATTAGTGACAATCTTGCAGACTTATTTCACATGAATCCCACTACAGGTCTGGTAAATTCACAACTGTGTGAATAAAATATATTTTCCTAAATCACGCATATGCACCACATTTGTTTGTATGAAAGGTTTTTGCATGAGACGCAATGTTACCAGAGGTTGAAAAGTCCTTAATGATGGCAGACCAGACTAAGTTTAGCTTGACATGTACCCAGTGTCTTTGTCAGAAAAAGGGTCCCCTGGACAGCAAGATCAGTGAATTGTAAACTCCTAAAACACTCTTTCACTAAAAAAGGCAGTGTGCATTAGGATGAACACACAAGGTTACAAGGCAGATGAAAACTGAAAGTAAACTGAGTGAGTAATATCTGTATTTTGTAAAAAAAACAATCAGGATTTAACTTCTTCCATTTTTTATCAACCTTATATCAAGGCCCATTTTTGTTATGTCTTTCTGTTTATTCTATCCAGGTCAATAACTTTGTGGTGTTTGAGGGATTCTTCCTCAACAGAACAGGTAACATTTTCACTGATTAACATGAGCTATGGGATGTGGGCAAGTGGGCATTTGAAAATACTGGCTGAACCTGTGACTGGTTAATATTCTTTGGTAATAACATCATATTATACAGTGTTGTCATTAAGTTCAGGTACACAAAATTTTCAGCTTCAAACATCTTTTCTCCAATAATAAAGTTTTAATGTATGTATGATGCTTGGTCTCTATAAAGAAGGGTCTATCTGCAGCTTGCTGTCTACAAAAATATGGCAAGTACCAAGCCAGTGGTACAACTATTTTAGCAGTTTCACTTAAAATGAACCGCTAGCTAAAAATGTGTAAAATCCTGATGTCACATCAGCTCCTGTTCCACCAGTTTTCTGATACTGTCTGAAAGGTCTGAAATGCCCTCCTTACTGCAATGTGCATAAAGCAAGATAGTAGCTGTTGGCTTCTTTTGTATTTGTGTTACCCATCATCATCCTTTTAATATAATCTTCCCATATTTCTAACTTCAATTTCTATTATTGACATCATTAATATGCAAGCTTCGAGTTTCACATTTCTTCTACAAGAGGGGATAGTTGTTTCCTCAATCCGCATGCACATAGATGCACTGATGGCAAAAAAAAACTGCACTGTAAAGCGGGTTGAGTGGTAATCAAGACCAGAACAGCACTATATAAATACAGACCATTAACCATTTTTGAACTTGTTAACACTTAACTTGCGTCTGATTCACATCATTGAATA